ATGTGGGTGAGTTCTTCGTTTGGTTGGATCTACTGTAGTTAGAGATAAATTACTTGTAATTTTGAATAACTTGATCCTAAATAAACAAGGGCAGGACAGCCGAATTAGAAAAAAAAAATTTTTATAGATAATTTGCCTAGTTAATATCCTTAATTAATAAAATATAAAAATTACAAGATATATATATATAATTATAGTAAATAAATTTCTTAGAGTTTAGCAATCAGACAAGTAAGTTGTCTGATGAAATTTAAATTTCTAAAATTGTTTATAATTTTTTTAAAACAAGAACTTTTATTTAAAGTTAAACAAACCAAATAATTAGAACAGTAATATACTGCCAATTTTTATTTTATAAATATGTTAACAGATTAATGAACACTAGACAAATTTATTTAACTGGTTTTCTAGTAAAATTCATCAGATATAAAAAGCTGACCAACTCTAAAATTTCTAAAATATTAGATTTATTTATTACTATAAAGGGATATAATTTTTTATTAAGTAAACTGTACTTAATATTTTAATAGAAGTTATATAAAATATTTATAAACTTTTAATGCAAATAAAATCATCAAATTTGGTTTAATAAATCAAAAGATATTTACATTTTGTATTTTACATTTATAAAATTTTCTTTGTAAAGAAAATTTTATAGTTGTAAAATATAAAATGTAAATATTTCTTGATCTACTGAACCAAATTTGATAATTTTCCTGTGTTAAAATCTTATAAATATTCTATACAACTTCTATTAAAATATTAAGCTAGTAAAAATTGAGTTTAAACTATATAAATAATTATTTCTTTATTATTAACTCTTGTAAATATCAACATAATTATCTAACCCAATTAGGTTAATATTAACAAAAAATGACTATACAAATTATATTCTAATATAATCTAGTATTTAAATAAAATTAAAAAATTTATTAATAAATTTGATAATTTTTATAAAAATAATTTTTAATATAAATATACTAAAACACAAATATTAAAACACAAAAATACTAAAACACAAATTATATTACTATAAAAGTTTAAAAGCTTAACTGCTAAACTATAAAATCCAAATTTTAAAATATTTTTTTAAAAAAATTTTTTTTTAAATTAAATTTTTATTTCATTTATTAGTTCAAAACTTTAGTTTTTAAATAAAAATAATTAAATTTAATTTCAAATATTTTCTTTAAGTTAAAAATCTGGAACCAGGCACAAAGGCTTAAAACAGTCAAAGTGCACAGCACTAACAACTGCTCACCTTAAAATAAAGTAAAATAAAAAGACACAAAATCTCGCAAATATGAAGTTTAATTAAGTCAGTGAAATCCAATACTGATTTATGCTTTATTAAAAGAACAAACCCAAATTAAGTGTATAACCAATAAAAAAATTTTATACATATTCATCTCTCTCGTCCATATCCTCTGCTGCATTAAGTAATCTTTTTAACTCGCCTCGCTCGTGGAGAATTGAAATAAACTCACGGAAAAATGGACCATAGTCAAATGTTCTTCGTTCTTTCGCAACCTAAAAAATGTAGTAATAATATTAACAAGAATATTGACGAAATAAAGAATAAATATATTTCTACAAAATTAGATAAACTACTTCTTTCCGCCTTTTTTCTATCTCAATTTCTTCAAGCAAAGATTGAATTGTATTAATCATCTTTGTTCGTAATTCTTTGATCTTTTCAACATCATCATAAAACGACGTTAAATTTTCGAAGTCGGTAACATAATTTCCTCTATTTATGACACTTGTTTCATCATCACCGGTGAAAGACAAATCGATCTATAAAAAAAGTTTTAAATGGGTTATTAAGATAATAACAGTTAAAATTTTATAAAATAAACGACACTCACATCCTTAATATCATTTTCTTTCCAAGAACAATTGAGCTTATCTAATTTATCTTCTGCAAGTTTTTTGATGTACATACAATCTTTGATTTTGTCTTGATGGATACCTAATTCATCTTTAGTTATAGCTAGAAGAACATATTCTATCTGTTCCACAAAAAACCTGTAAAACATAATCAATATTTTGTATTTTAAATTAAGACACAATAAACTCAATGTGCTTACCCATTAATACGTTCATTGATCTCACCACGAGCAGCTTCGTACCATTTTTTTTCATTCGAATACTTTCCTGACATGAAACAAATCACATAATAACGTCAACAACAACAATAATAATAATAATAATATGCTATAAAAGTGCATATTATATAATAATTCGCACCTAAACTAACAGGGTGCGGGAATAAACCATCTAACTGCCATGCCTCTCCATCTACAGGAACATAGGCAATATAATGATATGCTTCACCGACGGCCTCATCAATTATTTTCTTTCCCCTTCCCTTTTTCGTGGTCACCGCTTCTTCAACGACTAATGCTTCCTCAGGATGTCTTATTAAAATTAGTGTAAGTAAATGAGTTAATTACCAAAGTCTATTATGAATCACTTGTATAAAACATCACTCGCCTTGACATCGAATTGTGAACTTGACGAAAATGTGGGTGATTTGTGATTGCAAACCCACGCGTCTAATTATTGAAAGATCATTTAAAATTTCCAGTTATATAAATACATATTATATCATATTAACATATTGCACTTACAGCTGGTGGAAGCTCCCACGAGAATTCTTTAAATTCCTTTAGTTCTTGACCGATTTCCAATCGTGGACAATTCAATACGATGTTCAACACCGCCAATGTTGCGCATGCGTTTTCCACAACCTAATATTAATATTGCGTTATGCATTGTGATATAACAATTTGAATAAAAAAAACAATTATAAGAATTTTAAGAACTTTACTTGGTTTGCAAAGTATACATTCTTTGGAAGTTCATTGATAGGCTCATACTTGACATCTCTATGCAAACCTTTTACATCACCTGACACATCGCCTATCATCTTAAAAAGGAAGACTAATCCATATATTTCCCTGGAATAAAAACAAACGCGTTAATTGAATAGTAAATTATATCTCAGCCTAAATTATATCTGCAGCATTCAGCAGAACAAATATATTATATTTATTAAATTTTTGCCTCAGTTATTTCTCTAACCTAGGTTATGTATCCAAAAACTCTTCAAACAAAAGGGGATATAACTGAGGTTTGACTGTATGATTATTATGCTTACCCAAGGTCATCGAAATTATCTTGTTGGTCAAGAACAAACACCTCAGTTGCCTTAGCTCCTTTAACCCCCAAGCTATACATCAAAGAGGTGAAAAGTGCTTATAAAGCAAACAAAATAACAAATATTTTTTTTTAAGTGTAACTCCTCTACTGGACAAACGCGAATAGTTAACAAGTACATGTATTTACAGGGCTCTGATTGTAGTTTAACCCACGGTCCTTCTGCACGTTCGTTGTGACTAAGTATAAGAGAAGACATAATATTTCGATATCACGTAAAGTCGCGATTTATGTAACGGTCAAATATGTTAACTGTTAACGCGATCCAGCTTAATCAGGGTCCCCTGATTAGTTTTCGAAAATTACCTCATAGGAAGACATTCGTACGATTGGCTAAGATAATTAACCAATCAAAATACAGTAATATTACTAGAAAACAAAAAAACGTCATACGTATAAGGAAGCTTACAAATTAATAAATACACGTAAAAGAATTTATCATATATGTTAAAGTGGGTGGTAAATATAATATTTATTACCAAAAAAACCAACCTTATTGAATCTACAAGATGTTAAAGATACTATATAAACTGTAATTTATGGTTAATAAATCCAAACACATTACAAAAATTAACCAAATTTCAACATTAAACCCAAATCTTCTACTATTAAAGATTTGTTATCTATTAAATTAAAAACAGCAATTAAATCTAACGTAACAAAGTAATTTTAAACGAAAACATTTTTAGTTATCTTTACTTTGCAATATAATTTCGTACAGCTCAATAGACTTTAGTATATTTTTTTATTCTAAGTAAGGCTTTTACTGACTGCTTGCTTAATAATACACATCTTTTCTTCTAAGTAAAATTCTTTGAGATCATTTGGGATTATTTTGTATAGTGAAACTCCTAAACCTAATAATAAATAAATATATATATTTTCATACGAAAGTCCTCCTATGACCTATATAACCCTGATCTTGAAAACTCTACAGACAGTGCAAATTCATGTGATTGATTAGTTAACAACGGTAAGCCTGTTTATAAGAACTTTTTGAAAAAGTTTAAATGCCGTTTAGAGTTATGTTGGGGTGGCATTAAAAGGTCTCAAAGAAATTAATTGTTTGCCTTCATATTATAATAATTAGATAATCGTTTCTTGTATTTATTTATTTATTTATTTTTTAAAAACAAAATATGTAACTCGCTTTATCATTTTAGAAATTTCAATAAGTTCCGTAGAGTAATTTACTATGTTTCTATGTCTCTATGCATATATATATATACATTATTATCTGGGATCTTTGCTAGGAAAATGACCCTTCGAGGCTATGTTGGTTTTGTGAATAAAAATTAAATTTGCCAACCATCTAGTTATCCAATTTTTGTTATTTTGTGGAGCTAAACAAAATAAAAAAGATCATTCGAATTGGATGACTAGATGGCCGGCATGTTTAATTTCTATTCACTAAATCAACCTACGAAGGGTCAAAGATCCCATCTATTATGTTAGCTTGACAGATTTAATTACATATTTATGGCTACATTTTTTTTTTTTTTTTTGCGGGCGACGCTAAGATAATTGGAACCGCCTAAAGTTTTTCTAATAACCGTTTAACCATGTTAATTTATTAATTCAGTAAACCCGAATACAAATTTCATCAATAGAACCGAAATGTATGTATCGAATTGAGTGTAAGTCAAATGTTCTCGAAGTTATATGCAAAAAGCTATTGAAATTCTTCCCGTAAGAACTAGATTTACAAGTGTGCAAAAAAAATAAAAAAAAAATTATCACACATATATGATATCGATATATTGTATTAATGTAAAAAGGAAACAGAAGTAAATTGCGCAATATAATTATATCGTAAAATCAAAATATAAATATATAGCTTGAAATACTACGAAGTTTCGTGTTTTAGGAGCATCTTTCTTTGACTCTAATACAAGCATACGAACTATGAAGCTATCATTTGTCAATTTTAATTAATGGTGCCCAACGCAAAACCCAAATCCAATTATATATACTCTTAATTGCTTATAATTCTTAATCCACGAACCTAGCATCACACTAAAGATCAAACTCAACATTATAATTCTGTTTGTTAATACAAGCCATTCTTGTTATAGTGAAGTGATCCATTCCATTAATAAAAAATTTTAAAATTTCATTATATCGAGAGTTTTATTAGTAAATTCACTATATCGAGAGAATTTTATGTAAAATGGCTTTGAGCTTAATTTCACTGTCGAGATTTTATTTAGTTTTCGCTATATCGAGAGTTCACTATAACGAGAGTGACTTGTCTTTATAGAGTCGTATATATATTTTTTTTATTTGAACAATACGTATTAAAAGTAGTTTTCACGGGTTTTTTTTTGTATAGAAAATTTTATTAAAGTTACAAAATATTAGACTTTTATGTTTGAGGAAGAGTCGCTTAAAACTAAAGAAAAAATAGCCATGATTTATGAAGTCATAAATTTGAAAATTTATTTTGATGCTTTAATTGACCTATATCGATATTGGCCAATTTTATAATTAAAAATCCTTCGATTAATTATAAGTCGATGTCGAATGGTATTGAGCAAAAATACTGAAGCAATCGAATTAAAGAAAATATTTTATGAGAAAACATATTATTTATTTTGTTTGATTATAATAATTGCTATTTTATATTTATTAATAATTGTTGCTTAAATAAAAAACTTAATTATTAATTATTCGATGTATTTTACATTCCAAAAATATTTTTTTCAAAAACCAAATTTAATTAAATCTATTGACTACCGTTTGAACCAATAGGAATTTGGTGCATATCATCATCAGCGGCAAATATTTGTCTTTGTAAAAAATATTGTCCTGAACTCGGTCGAGAATTAGGTCGAGAATTAGGTCGAGAATTAGGTCGAGAATTAGATCGAGAATTAGATCGAACAAGTGATTGAGGGGAAGTTGGGTGAACAGGTGAATCTTCTGAATCTGATAACTTTTCTTCTCCAAATCTGTTTTCATTTGATATTACCAGTCCGCTATTGCGATTTCTTGTTTTACCAATAGAATTTGTACGTATAATAGCAGATCGTCGCCGAACTTCTGATCTTCGGCACAATCCATCAGTTGATGTGTTGGTACCTTCCCTTGAACTTGAGCGAGGTCCTATAATAGGACGAGCTGCCACTGGATTATTCGGATCAGTCAAATCGTTTTGACTATAGTTAGACATATCATTTGGTGATACTGATACAGGAGTTTCTGAAATATTGGAACTATAAACAGTCGTATCATTGTTCATAGACGTGTCAAGCTTCGCTAAATTAGCACGTGATAATGGCATGGGTGTTTCTGATTCCAAATTGGTATGAGATGTTATATGAGATTCATCGTTACGATTTATGGATTCGTTAGGAATATCTTGAGATATGATTTCCTTTGTTATGTTTTCTTTTGCGGACGAATTTAATTTATCGTTAACTTCTTGAATTGATTTTTCTAAAATTGAGATCACTGAATTTCCATTCGACCTAGTTGGAACAACAGTCGATGTGCTCTCTCTACGACTTGAGGGTACTGAAGATATGCTATCTCTAACTCCATTAGCTGTGATTGTACCTGAACTTTCTCTAGATCGATTGGAACGTGAGGACTGTACTGAATCACGACTTCCTGAACGTCTAATAGATTTATTGTTTGAATCTTTGAAAATTTTTTCATAATGAACTATAAGGTCTTTAACCAATCGTTGAGGATGTTTATCGTGAAGAAATTTAGGTGCTTCAGTCTGTGGTCTCAATAAAATTAAACCTAGAGTTTGTGATAAAGCTGTAATATATTCATCATCTGCGTTTGTAGACTTTACCAGACTGATCAAATAGAAGGTAAAATATATTTATAATTAATGAATATAATGATAAATAACAAATATATTTATAATTAGTGAAATATAATGATAAATAACAAATTTGGAGCACACGTACCGATGCAAATGTGAGATGAATGTATCCAAGGTTGCATAGTTTGCATCAGGAAGAGACGTAATTAGCAAATTTGCGACGGATGTTATTCGTGTGTTCTCGTCTTGATCATCGAAATCTTGTTGAAGTTTTAACGTTTAAAAATACATATGACGATTGATTTGAAAACAAGGTAGTGTAAAAAAAAAATTGCTCACTAATAGAATACAATAGTTTAACAGGCTCATATAGTTCAAAAGTAAGTAGACATTCTGGCAATTCCATAAAATATAATTTCAATACCCCACCAACGGTCGTCAGATCGTGCTCTCTCAACTTTCTCATATTAATTTTTCCACCTAAATTAATAAAAGAAACCCATGAATAAAGAATAAAGAATGGTGAAGTCAATGCCGATTAAAGTTATGCATTTACCATCGTTAATTTCCTCACGAAGAGCATGTATTGTGGCCAAAGGTACATTTGTTATCCATAGAAGCCTTTTGTCTACATTAAATATCAAATTAGACATTGATAATTGAAATTGGCAATAATAAGTAAAGTATAAAAATTACCAGTTTCATTCCAACAAGTTGTTCCTATGAGCACAAAAACAAAGAAAAAATATTAGAAATACTAAACTGTATGAAAAACTCATCAAAAAAAAAAAAAAAAAAAAAAAAAAAAAAAAAAACCTTTAGTAATGCAACTAAGAATCTTTGTCACAATTTGTGGCACAGGTTTCAAATCTTTTTTACTTTTCTCATCAAGAGGAACTCCGAAAGTTTGATCTTTGATACCAGATTTATAAATGTAGAAAGTTTACAAAATGCAAATCAGCAAGTATTTAAGTTAAAAAGGATACTTATTTTTCTAATTTTATGATTAAAATTTAAAGCAAAAGTATGTTTAAATACCGTTAGCACTTCCATTATATTTATTCCTGTATAGCAAAACACGGGGAATAAATGGACCAGTGCGATATTGTTGTATCATGAATTGGATATCTTGCTCAGGCTTTAATGCTTCGTTATATAATAGCAGACGTTCAGACATATGTTGAGTGGCAGAGATAACACTGCCGAAGGTGGCGGCATAATTGAGGAAAGCTAGTTAAATGGGATTGATATGATAAGCAAATCAAATATTATAATATCACTATTAAACCGAAATTTACAGGTATTGTACCTGCTTTTGAATATTTGATACGATCAAGTTCACTTTTTTCCAAACGGTTCATATGATCCATCTACAATATGAATGCTGATCAATGTATGGAATGGAGAAAGTTTGATTACCAAATAATGTATTGCAAGAAACGTACCATAGTTTCTTCGAGAAAAAGACGGGTTCTATCTAACCTGTTAGATAAAAGGTTCACCATGTTTAAATATGTATTCTATATAGATATTAAATAAGAGGAAAAAGAACAAGTACTTTCTAGCGGCGTGACGATATGCATCATCCGACTCATGAGCGTCTTTTCGTGCATCTTTTTCTGAAGGTTGGCTCGGAGTGATCGTTGAAACAATACCACCCAAAGTTGACCCAAGAGTGGAAATTTCATCATTTTCTTTGGTATCATAAGATTTTTTCTTAAACTGATAAAAACTTCCAGGACTTGTAGAAAATGTATTACCAATCACACCAACGAGTTTAATGAACCCTTGGTCAATTAGTTCTTGGCCAATAATTTCAATATCCCTCCATCTGCGTGCACCAGCATAATTTGTTTTCAACCATTTAGCAATATCTTTACCACTATATGCATCATTATAAACACCCAAAATGGGAATTTTAACTTGTTGAGAAGGAATCTCTTCACGCATTCGTGCAAGATAATTTCTTAGATCATTTTCAGAGAAAGCCAAACCACCAATAACGACAGGTGATGAGTCAGTTTGTTCCACCCCACGAATAGATGTTTCTTCCATTTCGTCAGCAAATTGACATTTTGACTCATAATTATTTCGCAATTTGTCTACATCATTAGCCAATTTGTTAAATATTTTTAGATAACTTGATATTTCATCCCGACTTGCTTTAAGACGTTTACTATGTATATCACCATATTTAATCAGAGGCATAAGAACCATTTCGTACATGCTACTAGCAAGTTGTAAATGAGCTCTCCCTAATTGCTCACATTCATTCTTAATGTTATCAAATGCACGTCGTAGAGTAGCACCTTCATCACGTAAGAACCCATCCTCGTAACTTTCCATCCTGGATAAATCAAATAATTGTTTTCCATATAATTCTTCTATTCTAATCCTCTCCTATATATAAATGGAGAGTTTTTGATATTTATAATGAGTTAAAGAAATAGAGTCTATTTTTAAAAGAAAAAAACATAAATCTATGCTGACCCTTAAAAAATCAACAATTTCTTCATTTTCTACACGACCTTGCTCAAGTTTATTATATAAAATATTAACCCCAACTCCATAACCGTTGGGAGACCAAAATGAATTATCAAATTTTAACTGGGCAACCGTTGCCATCTTTGGATTTTTTTTTTTCAATATATATCAAAATGCTGTTATTATCGTTATATCAAATATGCAAGTATAAAGGAAAAAGTTGAATCATTATTTAGAATACGGACAAAAAAAAAAAATCATGTTTAATTATGGCCTACCCGTTTCGTTATTTTGATATTCGGAACACGTGTAGATATAATATTGCAATTTTCTTGTATATAACAAGTTTATTCGTTAATTCGTAACGGTAAAAGAAGTTTTTGATTTAAAGTCTTTTGTTGGCAACGGGTAAACTAGAAATAATATCATCCGAGAATCGTTTCCTATTATGCACCAGTACTACAATAAATATTTATATCGATATATGTATATATAGTTTTAAAGTTACGATACATCAGTGGCTTTTACATATTCAAGAATACAAGACGTCGATAATAACAACTAACGCTAAACCATCTATATCGCACACATGTACATACGCTTCAATAATGCACTCAGAATTACATTTTAATTTTGAACTTTCCGATGCTAAACTTACCTGCTGTGGTTTAACGATGATTTGTGGCTACGATTAATCATTAAGGTAAGTGGGTTCTTCAATACATACGTAAATACATACGTACGTACGTAAAATTCATTTTAGGTAATAAAATTTTACGTAATCTATCGTTATCACATTATAAACTATATACCTGATACTATTTATCGATTATTGCGAAAGCGTTAGAGTTAGAGTGAGGATGAAGGTATAATTTAGGCTAATTATTGTCGATCAGTTAATGCTGGTCATCTGAGGCAAGCATTAATCGAATCGAATCGAATCGTATTGCGTGATCTATCAAACAGAATAAATTTTATAACATTCACCTCACATACCAGGACGAATCCAACGGTGCAAAACAATAGGCTCTACTGTAATTATTGAATCACCCGATATTATTAAAAATACTTTCATGTAACTTGATTATGATATGTCATGATGCGGTAATCAAGGTTATTTTAAATATCGTTATTTTTGCATCATTAGATTCGTAAAAGATATAAAAACGTTTGATTCTGGCCGATAGGTCACGCATATTACTCAAATCACCTTCACATAATACCTTCATCTAAATGGAAAAAAGTATTAATATGTAGTCGCTCCAAATACTTAATGCTACTACGTATACGTACTGTATTTATAAATGTAAAAAATTAATGTAATGCTAAATAGAACCAGCGCGAGTGCAATAAACAATGCTGAACCTGCCCATTAAACACTAAATGCTAAACTATTTTTGGTTTTTTCATTTGTCGGTTTTTTCATTTATCGTCATAATAGTTATTGTATTACATTGTGCACTGGGGTATTTCACGCACTAATTAATCAAAACTATGTAAGGTATGATAATAAAAATCAATAGTGCAGATTTTTTTTGTATTGTATCCCCCACGTAGATCCCGAGCATACCCCAGTTATATTATTTGGCCAATAGAATTGAAAATCTGTGTGTAACGAAAAATTCTAATCATCTGATAGCGATAACGATAAGAGTAATTTACATTTATATTTTTTTTTGAACGTTATAAAAAAAGTTTTAATTTTATAAAGCTAACGACTTATAAATAATTCTTCAAATAGATTATCGGCTTCCTGCTCTAGTTGCCTATCTGATTGGATTATTGAAGCAGAACCATGTGGATTGTGAGCTATTCGGTTTTCCTTTCGAAGGTCTTTTAATTGTTTATCTGTAAACTGAAATTCTGTTATTTCAGTTGTTGAAAGCCGCATTTTAGATTGTTGAGTTTCAGCAGTCATATTAGGGTGGGTTTTCAAATCCCATTTATTAAATAGGCCCTCGACTTGCTGCTGGTGAACAATAATATACCAGATTTTATTTTTAATGAAGTCGTAGAGCAGCGGGAATTGATGAAGTGGAACAGTTGATTCATTAACGAATGAACTGAATTCTTGGAAAAACATTTCATCAGTTAATGCATCCTTAAGACCGAAATCATTAAAATTTTCTTCCTTAACGTCGATTTCAAGATACTTTGCATAGCAAAGTTCTTTTAGATTAGGAACCTTTGGCCAAGGTTTTTTAAGTATTACATACCAATAGCTACGTGCAAATTGTCGAGCATTGTTTCCACCAAGACGACATAAGCTTAAGGGAAGATGAAGCCAACAATTTAACCATTTTTGTTGCAATTCAAGTCCTTTTTGTATTCCTAGTTCTAAATTTTTGACTAATAATTCGATTTTTGAATCATCCATAGTTTCTGTACTCTGCAAAAGTTCACCGCCAAAAAACGAGTAAAGATTTTCCAAGATACTTTTGAGCTTACACGTAGAATTAACGATAAAATCTGGCATTTGATGTGCCCGATGGCCGGGTGGTAAGCATTGTAATGAATTATCTGACTGTACAACTATCGGACAGGGATCGTAACCAACGAGAAATTCAGAAAACGGGCGGTAAAATTCATGGCCAAATTTAACTAGACACTGAATTTTAATGTTTAGTTCAGAATCGTTTAACCAATTCTGAAAAAGTTCCCATTTTTGAACATAGGAACTCGGGACTTTTTTTAAAGTCTTTAGTTTTGGAAGAAACCACGCAACAAATTCAATATGAAGTTCACGTCTTTCGAGGTATTGTTCTGCCGCAATTAATTCATATTGCCATCTTGATTTTAGAGGATGTTGATATTTAGTCAACTGATAATTAAGGCGCGTTTTATAAAGGCTCCGAATAGTCTCGCTTCTCATATTAAGCGGCGAATCTTTATCACTTTGAGCATATCCATCGTGCAGCATCCATGCCAAATAAAGAAGATTAAATGGATGTCGCGTCTTCGAAAACCCAGCATTTACAGAAAGTTTACCGAAAGCCATATCCTCAAAATTATTGAAAATTAAATTTAACACATGCAATCCACAAGGAATTCGGGTGCAATTACTTTGAGCTAATCGATTGAATTTGGCTACAGCACCACCAATGTGACCACTCATGTAATTCGTATTATCAGATAGAAAGGTAAGGCATCGCGTAGTATCGAGATTATATTTTGTGCAAGTTTCAATTAGAGCCTGACTAACTGTATCGGAATTGCAGCGTCGAAGATCTTTTGTCTCTAGAAGAACAACGTCTGGCATATTCTTTGTTGAATTCCAAAACATAATGCAATTTACGAATATTTTTTTTTCACCCCGACCAGATTCATCTGCCATAATTCCGAATGCAAAATGAACCGATTGATTAGTTGGTTGAAATATACTTCTCACGTGCAACTCTGATACCTCGCGATTCCAACGACTAA